TCTTTAAACCTTAAGAGTAAAACATAACTCTTAAAACAACCCCATTCCAACTATTCAATTAAAGCGTGCTAGTCCGCCATGTACAGCAAATGCAGCTCGATTTCTACGATGCATAAGGTTTATCAATCTGTTGACTTGAGCGAAAGAGATATATAATAGGCATTTTTAAGAGCCTGATTGGATATTGAGGTCGGATTTTCTCTAACCTGGCGTAGTGAAGTAAACCTTGAATTTCCAGTTAAGGAACTGATATCCATGCTTTTGGAACGCATGAGCCTGATGGGTCGTCATGTAGTGTATACTTGTATTTCTTTAGGGAACGAATGGGGATTATAATTCTCTAGATATACCAGTATGTAGATTTTAATCATTCAAAAACTTGAGGACCAAATGCTTAACAGACATCCAAGTTAAGTACACTGGTTTCTTGAAAAGTAGATTACCCCTTCTAATTTGGAGGTCACAAGGTCAAAGATCAAACTTGAAAAAGGGAATGCATATATTTCTTAATATCTTAAATAACTACACTATATACTAGGAAGATATTTTTCAGATTCATTTGCTTGACAGACATATTGTCATAGCATTAAACTCAAAATGAATGAACACCAAGTCTTAAAAATAAACAAATTAAAACATTTTTTTTTATTTTTTATTTTATTGCAGATTAAAATTTGAATATTATTCAAATTACTAAGTACATTCAGCAACAAAAAAATACAATGTTTGTATGCTTCCTGATAGTTTATATTCACTTCAAAAATTAAAATGACTTTGAAATTTTGTGTGCTTCAAAACATTCTACTTGCTTGAATATACATCATGGTTCTTAATTTAATATAAGATGAAAGAAAAAATCGCAGCTTTCCAAATTATTTTCTGAATTATTTGCTTTGCCTGTATACAGAGAAATAAGTCTTTATAATATAAAGTTGTATATTTGGTAAAACTAAAGCACTGTTGACCTTGATCTTATCTAACATAACAAATAATGATACTCTACTCGGAATTTATGTGTGTACATGCAAATGATACTGATACACATTGTAACATGTACATAATCTTTGTGTACATGTACCAATAAAATCGTAAAAGTTAACATCAATACAAAATACCCTGAAATATTAGTCACTTCGTATCATAATTTTTTTTTATTTCTCCCTGTTCGTTACACCATTTGCAGGTTGACCTTGAGGAACCAAGCTTTCAAAAGAGCTTTTAAAGTGTATCCAAACTATTCTGTACAGTATGACCCCATTTTCTTCTTCCAATAAGCTCCTGAGAAAATTTGACAAGCACTGAAATTTCAATTCCTGGTTCAAAACACAACTGGTCTGTCTCCAAATACATTTAAAGTAGTACTCAAAGCATGTATCTGTGAAAAAAGGACAGTATTCAGATTAAATTGAAACAAGCATTCTGAGAGTATTGCATAAGCAATACATGTCCCCTACTGGGTTCCCCTATTTAGAATCTTTAAGATGTCACTTTACGGTATGCAAAATTTATGTCTTTTCGGAATTTTGTGCAGCACGAACCCGATTTAAACCATAATGAAAAATTAAAAATGCCATAATTCTGTCAAAATCGATGAAACGAAACGAAATTCAAACTTAGTTTGTAAATCATCAAGTTACACTCACATACCAAAATTCAGCTCAATATTTGCAAGCGTTTAGAAAAAAGTGCGGAAAACGAAGAAGTACAGACTGACAGACAGACGGACAGCTGGACAGACGCAGAGGAAACATATAGTCCCCTCAGGTACTATACGTAGGGGTATCGGTAGGGGACTAACAAGCATTCTGAGAGTATTGAATAAGCAATACATGTCCCCTACCGATTGTAGCTCAGTCGGTAGAGCGCTCGCTCCGTGATCGGGAGGTCGTGAGTTCGTATCTCGACCGCGACTGACCTAAGTCGATAAAAAATGGGTAGCAACTGTTCCTTCGCCATGCGCTCGGCACTTGAAGTGAAAGTTGCGGGTCCTTCGGATGATACTTTAAAAACCGAGGCCCCGTGTCAGCGGCAGGCGTTGGCACGATGAAGATCCCTCACTGCTCAATGGCCCTGAGTGCCGAGTAAAGGTCAAAATTTGAAGCCCTTCACCAGCATAAGGTGACGTCTTCATATGAGTGAAAAATTCTCGAGAGGGACGTTAAACAACACACGATCAATCAATCAATCCTCTACCGATTTTCCATTTTTCTTTAGGATGTCATTTCATAAAATGCAACAGTTATGTCCATTTTTTGAAGTTAGAATGCCTTTAACCCTATAAAGTTATAATCCACATAAAGACAAAAATTCAACTCATTTTTAACGTCTTTTTCTCACTCTATATTTTAACATGTTGACCATCGGAATTTAGCGCAGCACGAACCGGATCTTAAACCATTCTGAAAAATCAAAAATGCCATAATTTTGTCAAAAATCAATGAAGCGAAACAACATTTAAACATAATCTGTAACTCACCAAGATACCCTTTCATATCAAAATTCAGCTCAAGATCTGCAAGCGTTTAGAAATAAAATGCAGAAAACCAATTAGGACAGCTAGACAGACAGACGGGGACAGACAGACAGACGGACTGATGGATTGATTGGATATTGTTTAACGCCGTGTCGGCAATGTTTCAGCCATGTTTCGGCGGATCATTAGTTTAAATCGGTTTTTGAAAATTTTAAGGTCCCCAGTGAGCCTACTCTTTTTCGAACTCCAGAGAGACGATCTTTTTCGTGCCAAGGGGGTTGTTATCCTTGACACGGGGCACCATTTCGGACTGATGGACGGACGCAGATGAAACATATAGTTCCCTCTGGTTTCACCGGTAGGGGAATAATAAACCATACTAGACATATTCTCAATTTTCTTAAATAAATGGCATGCTTATTATAATGCTACATTTATATATTACAATTTAAGGAAATGTCATCAATTGATTTGGATGAGATTCTTCACCAATTCTTCTGGCTATCTAGGAGGAAAACAAGAGCTTCATGTTTTCTTGAAGCAAAGTAACAGACTAAGGAAAAAATACATGTGGGAAATCGAAGGGAAGAAACAGTTTTCTTGAAAAACGAAGCGTCACTTTCTTAATAAATCCTTGAATATTGACAAAAAAATGAATCAATTTCGTTTCTTGGGACCTTGCCAACGTTTGTGCTCTTTGGGCAGCCTCCTATATAGGGGTATTAAAAAATGGATTCCCATTTAATTTTTAAACGACTTAATTCTATGAGAAAACTTTACCCTTTTCTTTATTTGTTGTTTATTCTTCTTACTTTTAAATATTGAAATTTTCATTTTTACACACACTTTTTTTGCATTTTTACTGGAATGAACTATTGGTTGTTACTAAAAATAGAAACAACGAATGAAAAAAACAACATATTTCTAACTCTCAATTGGTGTACTTTAAGTTCATAATAAAAATAAGTTTGTTCTTGAGACTGCCTGCTGCAGCCTTTTTTTCTATTTGCATGTTTTTCTCGTAGAAAGACTCTTAAAGAAAGCATTTTTCTGTTTCATCGTAGAGAAAGTCAACACACTCAATTTTCAGAGAAATAAGTTGAAATGCTATTGTTTGGTGACATACTTCTGCCCTCTGAATGCAAGACAAAGTATGCCAACATGCAAGATAATTATGTCAACATAAAAGATTATTATTTTTACATGCAAGATAGTTATCTATACATGCAAGATAATTATGTTGACATGCAAGTACTGTAAATCACTAAATTTTCGCGACACCTTATTTTCGCGAGATAGTCATTGACTCTTGATTAGCGAGACAAAATTTTTGCGAGTTGTGGTTATTGCTCTATATATTCTTAAGGAATACTATTATACGCGAGAATTAAATTTTCGTGAGCACACTGTCTCGCGTAATTACGCAAAAATAAAGTTCTCGCGAATAAAAAGTGATTTACAGTATTGAAGTAACACCCTCTGTAAGAGAATCTCATTTTAATATTGTATAACCCCATTCTAACGCTTGTATCTGACATGGTAACTCAGGTCACTTAGAGAGGACCTTTTTTTTTTACTAGGTCCGTTTATATACTACTTAATGGGGAAAGAGAATTCGCAGCAAACTAATTCAGAAAATTTTTGTCCTATGATTATGATGAATGAAAAAAGGAGGATGGTCGGAGGAGGGGGGGGGGGTGCTTCGAATTCCCTGAATTTGCACTATTATTAAGGTATGTACTGACGCTGAAGAACAAGATATGTTTGTGAAACACTATGCACCCGCGGCGGCAACAAAGTTAGAAAAAATAGTTTTAGCAGATAAGTCACAGTCAAGGTCACAAGGTCATTGACCTTGATGTCATTTGAAGAGCTTCATTAGTGGAGAATACATACCAAATATGAAGTCTCTATCTTTCATGGTTCAAAGGTTACGTCAAAAGTCCCAAAAAGCTATTTTAGCATATAAGTAATAGTCAAGGTCACAAGGTCATTGACCTTGGTGTCATTTGAAAGTGCTCTGCAGGGTATATAATAGTAGAGCAATAACAATCCTTGATTCGTGAACTTTTAGCAAAGCAATGTAGTAGGAAAAAGAGTAGATATGCTACATATCAGAAAGTTTAAAATTTCAACAATATATATTTCAATCATTGAACAACAAACTGCACAAAATTATACATATGTTTAATGATGATTTAGAACCATCTTTTGTAAGTTTGATATTTCATAAATGGTCATAACATTGTGTCACAAGAAATAAACAAAATATTGTTGAGTATATGTAAACAATTAATGGCGGCTTAAGTTTGAATTTTGCAACTCTAAGTAAATTACAAACCATTAATTCACATCTAAAATTTAAAAATCTCGTGCTCAAACAATTACATGTAATTCAAATTATTCAAAGTTAAAAAAATATCGCTGTCTTCTAATTAATTTCTTGTCATACCCCAAGCGTCAATGACATGCTATCATTAGAACGAAGTAGAATCACGGCAAAGTTGAAAATAAGATCAATGTGTACCTATAAACTTCTGATCATCATCAGAGTCTCCTTAATATATTCCCCATATTTAACCGTGGGATACCAAGGAGATCTCCAACTATCCGGTTTCCAGGCACCATTAAGGAAGGCGCGATAACAATTGTTGAACCACCAGCCTCCTTTATAATTAACAGCGCAGTTTCCTTCAATCCACTGATCGTTATCTCTGTCAGATGTCGTGAATTTCATTCCAGACAGATCTCCGGCAGAAGTGACCGTGTGCATCATACTGTCTCCTAGAAAATTATATTGCAAAATTATCTTTTTAAAATCGTTGCCCTCTCCCAAAAGAATAACTAAAATTGTCCAGACTCAGCCTTTCTTTTTTATTTCAGGACACGTTTTTTTTTTTATTCCTCTTATACCGCTTATAAATATATTGATATCTTCTGGATTCCTTTTTCAATTTCTTACTGCCAGAATAATATGACCATGAGTCGGGAGAGGACATGCAAACATTATTTTTAAGATGGCCTTATTAAAACATTCAAGTTTCATGTTTCCTATAATGTTAAGCAAAGTTAAATTCTACACTACACGTACCTCTCCCCCCTCTCTCTTTATAATATGAAAATAATTAAGCATTATAAGTCTACTTTAACTACCATTTCTCTCTTTGATTTATAATGTGAAGACTTTCTATTCAAGTACCTAGGGTTCCGGAGGCTGTCCCCGCAAGAAAGAGTTGATAGTTATCTGCTTCGTTTGAAACCGAGAACTGTTCGTACAACTCGTATAGTTTACTACCGTTAACCAGAGTGATGGAAATGTAGAGACTGGAGATCTTTCCCTTTGTTAACTGGTGGATTACATCATTTCCTATGTAACAGAAAAATCAAACTTGATTAAACATACTTCAATTCCAGTTTAAATGAATATAAATGATTCGCTTAGGAGGGGCAAAGTTTTACATGTATTGATTAATGATATCGGTATTTCATCTTCAAAGAATAGTATTAGATATATTTTGAAAGTTGAAGTGTCAGACAAGAAGGTAATTGATTCAATCATGGAAGACGATTGCCTTCGGTTTAATTGTTCTTAAAAATTTATCTTATTTTCTCCTCGCCCCTTGAACTCAATTTCAACTATACATTCGAATTAAAATGCTAAATGTCATATACAATTTACAAATAGCGGATGTTTGATTTTTCAATGATCATAAAAAGCATTAGATCAAAACTATGTTAATAATTACCGATCCAGAAATCCTGTCCCGCGTCACCGAATCCCTTTCTATATTCGTTCCATGTTCTATCAAACCTCACAGCTCCATTTACACGTTTTTGGATTGCCTTCCAAATATAATACATTTATTCAATACTTTTTGACAAGGATTTGCAAATTGCATAAGTTTTTGGATAGCCTTCCAAGAAAAACATTCATTCAATACTTTTTGACAAGGATTAAAATATTGTATATTTTTCAGTTAAAGACCTGAAGGTAGAAAAAAAAAATCAGAAAACATGTCATAAAAGAAATAAATACCGTCCATCCCCCTTCCATTGTGTACATATCACAGAAAACTCTGGCAGATCGGGCTCGGGATCCAAAGGGGTAAATCTCATACACGCCGGAATTAGTCTCACCATGTTCAACGAGGCTTTCACAATCTCTAGGTAGATCTTAAACAGATCAAAGTTCATTTGAATAATGTAATTGGCTGTGAATGGCAAAAATAATTTAATGCCGAGTTGATATCCTGAACACCATTTGAGTCGGTAATGAGTAATTTTTATTTCGTTAAATTTTCGGAACGAGAAGCGTAATTTTGTGGAATTAGATTAACTAATTTTAAGAGTTATTTGCAAATCATTTTCACCTACGGTTAATTAAAAAAACGTTATATACCTGGAGTAAATATGATACATACATTTACTTTAGAAATTTTAACGTTTTTAAATTTTATGTTTTGCATAAACCTAAATGACTGGCGAGTTTGTTTTAAATAAACCTAATGGACATTCTCTTCCGATATGAGTCATTATCAAAAAGTCACAAACTAGGTGCACGTATAGTTTATAGACCTTCAAGAAATTTTGTACGTATCAATTGGATATGTCATACAAAGATCAAGTTCATTAAGGAAATTTTGATAAAAATGAGAGACTCATAACAGTAAATTAATATTTTTTTAATGACAACCTCGTTTGGAACATTAATAAAGTGCAGCACGAGCCTGATCGTGAACCCAATGATAAATATTAATAATATTTATATAGTACATGTAGTCTTAAAACCTAGACAAATTAGGTCCGATTTCCACGTCCCATTCTCAAGACACAAAAACCTTCCGGATCCTCGCTGAAGCTGGGATTCAGAGCATTTAATGTGAAATTGTTGATAGATTCCTATTCCATCCCAGTCCTGGACATTCCAAGAAGTATTCTGTACGTTCAGAATCCCACAGTCTATAAAGAGAACAAAATGACAATCTAGACCTGAAGGTGTGATAATAACATTTTGTATAATTCTTTAAAACATTTTTTTGGATTGAAAAGTATGTGGAATCATTTTGTGAAAGACTATTTTCTCAGTTATTCAAATTTTGACCCCCAGGGTGTGGTAGGTACTGTAAACCGTATTACATTAAGGGATGTATTCTATTTAGCGATTTGGGCGGAAAGCAGAGTCCGTTAAAAGAATTTTACTGCAAAATACTTTGTATATAAAATGATATTGCTAGCACATTTAGATAGCGCTAAATCCAATTTACTCGAACTGGTTTAAAAATCCATTTCCGCTAAATATGCTACAAGCCAATTTTCATACATTTGTGGTATTACAATGGGGGATCTGGTAAAGAACAACAGAGCTAACGTTACTCAGGTGAGCGTCATTGCCCATGTCCCTCTTGTTCAAGGTATTTTCTTCCATGCTCTTAATGATAAAATATAACGATTATCCACAGAGAATGTGCTTACGGCTTGATAATACCCTCTCATGTTGTTTATCTTGAAAGGTTTATTATTATTCATGACATCTAATCGACGATTAAAAGGAATATAGCACTTTGAAGAGAATACTTTAAACTGATGTCTTTTATTAAAGATTTATGCTCACTTTAAGCACGGTTACTTCGATTTGTTTCACTTTGAAAAAATTTTAAAATGAATTATTAATTACAATAGCTTGGCAGTTATACATGTATACATACCCATGGTAACCCCATAATGAGGCAGATTTTGAACGAAAAGAAGAAATAGAACATTTAAGTTTGTATTCGATACAAGGTTACCATTATCTTGATTTATCTTGACTCTTATATTTTTGTACGAAAGTTGATATTGGAGACATTTTCATTGTATTAGTCTTATAAATTTTCACCCATTGACTGTTACTTCATGAGAGTTGATGTTTTTTGCAATCAAATAAAATAATTGGCCAATTTCTTGACCTTTTTCCAATGAGATTGCAGCATTGAACAGGCGTTTTGGTCCTTTCAATATTCTTAAATAGTATATCTGTGATAAAAGTGTAAAATTGGTTAGTTCTGCGTTCAATTTATTTTACAGAAAAACTGCTGAAATGGCTGGAAAACTTAATTACATAATAAAATCTCCAATTAGCTATAGTGTCGAGATTGTTTATGAGTAGAGGACGTACATGTATTTTGGCCTTGACCATGCCATTCCAGTGCCATCAAGATAGAAAACATAAGATTCATAATCGAGATTTTACCTGAGAAAACGCACCGGAATTCACCAAAGGGTTGAAAAATGCATTTTTCATTGAGTGCACAGGACGATGACGAGCAAGAACGTACGAGATCCTGGAAATTAAGTACAATTGAGCTGAATTATTTCAACAATAGAAAAATTAATTATAATTTTAAAATAAATTTGAAATACATTCAAGCCCCCCCCCCCCCACACACACAAATAAAACCGTATTAAAATAGGAAAATAGGTGTATTAAAGAAGAAAAACAAATCACAATGATAAGGGGCGTATACATCAATTTAGATGAGTCAACAAAAATGAAACAATACATGTTTAATTACAAAATCATATTATCTCGATGAGCATTTATATGCTTGTACGTTTAATAAGAAAGTTCTGAAGTCGTCAAATTTGAATGTTAGGGAATCTAGATTTACCTTACTCCATCTCTCTATCGCTATGTATATCCAGCCCGGACTTTGCCTGTACATTTCTGGCTGCTCATAAGTGTGAATTTGAAAGTTATTTTCACAAAAATTTGCTCCTTTAAAATAATTCACCGATCTGCACCTTGTAGTCTTTAGACATTCCGTAACACAGTCTAAAATACTGTATTTTGTGTAGGATTTAATTACTCTATTATGTAATCTGTATCCATGTTGAAATGAATAAAAGCTTTCTTTGAGATTTCCTCTGCAACATAAAATTATATTAAAAAAGATAAATAAGGAATACAGATATATGCAGTTCTGCATGACTCCTGCTTTGCACCATTAACAGTGCTCTGGGAGAAAAACTAAACACTCAATTAGATACTTGTTCTTTATACGTTGCTATGAATCAAAATTTACAGTATTCATAAAAGATGTACATAGTGTTACAGTTGAAGGAGAATAAGTAATGCGTTTTTGCACGTCACTTTTCCTAAACGGATTCCATGAAAAAAATATTAAAGAAGTACATTGTAAGCAAAGAATGTGTTGTCTTAGAAGATGAGGAACAGATAAATGTGGGTACATCTCTCGCAAAACGCATGTCTGTAATCAAACATTCGTCGACATCGATCCGAATATAAATTATGTTACTCCCGTTTTATCAATTGCTATTTGTTGTATTGTTTGAACTATTTCGACATGCGCAAGTATACTGAAAAGTAGTTGTTAGGTCACGATATATAAGGTGCTGGTCAGGCGTGAAGTGGTCATCGACGAGCAATCAACCAGTTCTACTTTAAATCCATTCATTACTTTCAAATGAAAGTACAATAAACAACAAACACACCATTTTGACATAGAAACGAAACGCAGTAGCTCTAAATACAAAGAAGGGGAAAATGAAAGTATAAAATCATTGATTTTAAATTCAATCTAACAAAATTCACTTAAATCATAAGTCATTCAATATTTCAAACAATAAATACATAAAATTTTACAGAAATTTTCCCCCCAAAAATGTTATGAAAACAATTAAATAATCACCAAAAATACATATACATGTATATCCATCCTAAACAAATTCAATACACCGCCGTCTTTTGAAAATCCATAACGCAATTCACCATGTAAGTCTGATTGTAAAAGTCTTGATGTTATGCACACATCCTATCCACACATCGATAAATGTTTCCTGCACTTGAGTTTTGAGTATAGTTTCAAGTCAAATTCAACGCATACCATACGATTTATCGTGAAGTCCCAAGAAAGAAGACCTCAAATATATCACATGAATTCGACACAGTTATACATAGAAGTATATTCATTATCCAATATCAAAATAGTACAAAATACACATTCCTGTGAAATATCTTGAATCCCATCTCAATTCCTTGGACATGTGCCTCTTTGAAACTCTGTCATTATTGGTACACAGATTAATACCTCATGGTGCTTGAATTAAACGTAAAAAGAATATAACCAATAATACCTGGAAGAACAAATTTGATGTTAGAAAACTGATAGATACATATATCTTGTAACTCTGATATTTTAGTAAATATGTATAGGATCTCTTTTTCTCTCTCTCTAAATCTATAAAAATCAAAATCATCATCATTGTGGCTAGCAAAACATGCATACTATCATTAAATGATAAAATGAATCAAAATTCCACCATTAAGCTCAAAATTTATGAATTGCACTAATCTTTTTTTTTTAATTCAGAAAAATATAAATGTGTTTGTATAAACATCCATTTGATAATCAAATTATGATAAACTTATTTTCATCAGAATAATCAACATGTACTTTACTATGTGTAGAAATACTTCCTACTGAAAACAATCTCACCATATGACATCAAAACAAATGTGGTTGGATAAACATCCATAAAATCATTTTATGATATAATTTATCAAAAAGTTCAAATTGATTTCCAATCAAATTTTACTTTATTTTCATCAGAATTATCAACCTTTACTTTACTACTTATGTAGAAATACTTTCTACACAAACAAATCTCGCCAAATGGCATCACCACAAATGTGTTTGGATACAAATCCATACATTCATATTAGGATATAATTTATCAAAAAGTTCAAATTCCAATCAAATTTTACTTTATTTCATCAGATTAATCAACTTTTACTGTACTTTATATGTAGAAATACTTTCTACTTTAACCAACTCGCAAAATGGCATCACCACAATACGGTTCAAAAAACATCCATAAATTCATACTATGTGATAAATTTATCAAAATACTGTTCCAATCAAATTTTTCTTTGCTTTCATGAAAATTATAAACTTTTACTTTAATATATGCCAAGAAACACTTTCTACAGAAACCAATCCTACTAAATGGCTTCATCACAAATGTGGTTGGAGAAACATCCATAATTTCAAACTCGTATGATAAAGAACCCACTTTCTACTTTAACCAACTCGCCAAATGGCAACACCACAAATGTAGTTGGATAAACATCTATAACATCATTTTATGATAAAATGTGCAAAGCATTCGAATCCAATCAATTTCTATTTCATATCATCAGCAATATAATGAAAACAATCTTTAATAAATTGCCAAATGACAATACCATAAAAGTGGTTGGAAAACATTCATAAAAGCATGATATGCTAAATTGTGCCAAAGTTATTCAAATTCAAAACTTCTCATTGTCTACTGAAATCAATCCCGTCAAAAACCAAACGCCACAGATGCGTTATGATAAACATCCATAAAATATTATGTTAAGTTGGGTTAGAGTTGGAATTCCGCTTAAATTCTATTTTTGTTTTAAATTAAAAAATAACAGCTTTTAAATAGCTACAGTATTATAAAAATCACTTTCCATTGAGAACTAATTTCAATAAAAGTAAATACTCCGAAAATTGTTGCCAATTAATAAACATTCATTCAATAATTTCATTATAAAATGAAATATATCAACGTTATCAAAATTCAAATCTTCCAAACACTACCAAACACGAAAATTGTGCAAAACAGCTCATGAAATTAATATTCAGAAAAAGTTGAATTCAATTTTGGTGAATCATTTTTAAAATAAGAATTCATTGACAAATTTTCCTTTTTACTCGAAAATTAAAACCGATAAAATTCAGTTTATGTTATCAAAATTTTTAGTATTGAAACTAAATACTTAAATCTCTTTTTCTAGATAACTCAATCAAGCTAATTAACAACACTGCAAATATTGCAGAATTATCATTCATTTAAATACAGTCAATTCTCGAATTATCGCCATTCGATTCATCGCCATTTTCGCAATACCGCCATGATTTCCAAGAACGTTTTTCCTGCTATATAACAAATTCTCTTTATAAGGCCAAATTCGCATACCGCCATCCGCCACCCTGTTTTCACAACAAACGTCCATTTTTAAGTGTCAGTTATCTCGATAATACCGCCACAGGTGCATGTGGTCAGTGAAGCGCGGCTAATTGGTTGACGCTATCCCTGTTGTAAAGCATGCAAAGCCAGTCAAGGTACATGCAATTAAGTAAACAATAATTTTAACATGAACTGTCAGAAAAATTTTGTTTTCTGTTTAATTATTTTTAAAAATCATTGAGTCAACGCTTCACCATGAAAGCGGTCGCTGTAAAGTACGCCGATAACGATATTATTTTGATGATCTTTGCTTTTGAAAAACAGTGCAGATTTGCTTAAAAATAATTATAAGTCAGAAATTGTGAACGTTTCATTAACAATGATTTCATAAACAATGAATTTTTTCAAGAACTTATTTTACGTACT